TCTTCCAAGGATGCTGAGCCCCACCTGCCCAGATGCAGCAGTTAGTACCGCCATCATGACAGTTGAGTCGTGTTGACCTCATCCACTCAATCCGCCGGATCTATTCCGCCGTTGTTGGTTTGAAATCAGGGTTTAGCCAACTCCCCTAGGTGACCAATGAACCACCGAACCCGTTATAGCGCGGGTCACCCGCTTGCGCCCTTTCACTTCAGTAAAAACACCTCCGCCACGAGAAGGCAGTAAATAGGATTTCCTCAGTAGAGGCTTAACAAGCAGGTCTTTTGGGAGCATTTCATGGAGGGCCAGGGACGACTTTACTCGTTTCCCAGGACGCCCACCCCCGACCATACTGAATGATACAACTAGCAGTTATGAAATTAAGCAATGCCGTTTTACCCAAAATTACAAGCTGTTTATAGCAAAAAAATAACTTCAGTTTCAGTTAATGCATGTATGTTTAACTGTATAGTTATTTCATTTTTTGATTACTTCAAGGATATGTATGATCATTACTTGATACTAACAAAACATTATCTTATTTACAGTTTGTACACAAACTATAAAATCCTAAGCTGTATATCAACTTTTACATTTCTAGAATAAGAATGAACTTCAAAAAGTTACTTACCACTGAAAAACTAAAAGCCTTTTCTTGTTGAGTTTGCTTTCATGCCGTCAACAACCACGTGACTTCAAATTATGAATATCCTTGATGCAATTTACTCATAATTCTCCATTCTTTCACCTTTCATGAGATTTTATTGTACATACATTAGGAGAACATACATAAAGCATGATTTCCCATCAAAAGTCAGATTTCTTTGTTTGCAGTGATGATATAACATACTCTCCTATTCATGGGGAGGTGGTTAGAAATGTATTTGAGAATTAAGTAACTGTAATTCATTTTAACTCAAAAAATATAAAATTCAAACCATACAGATTCACAATACTAAAAGCCAGAATACCCACAATGAAATGGAGAGTAGTGACATAAGGAGTACTAGTTTTCCAAAAGTAAGGTTGTTAGGCAGGAAGGTAATAATCTAGACAACAACAAACAAATCAAGAGGTTAAGCAGAGTTTGAGTGTGATACCAAACCAAAGCAAAGGCCAAAAAGACTGAACCAAAGTGAGGATACTTATAAATGCATTCCTCTCATCAAAGTACCTCCTTGCCTTAGACACCAATTAATAAGATATGCATATAAATGGGACTTGTGTAGTAATAACAGAACCTGTGGTGGACAACAGTTAAGAAAGATCAACGCACAATGTGTTGTTGTCTAGAAATTGTAGAGGTTATTCCTCCTTCATACTACCAAGTCAAGAAACTAGCCTAGTTGGAGGGTGCCTAGGAAGAATAAAAAAAAAAAACCTATGCAAACTGAAAGATGGGCTTGACAACTCTAGGATATTATAATATAATGCCAATTAAAGTTAAGGACAAAAAAGAAAAGAAAGAGATAAAGTGATCCTCATCCTAATTATGAGACATCATATGGAAAATGAACACTTCATCTCTGACATCTCAAATACCATGCAAAAATGTTTACACAGAGGTAGGAAAAGGTATACATTGAGGCATTATCAGTTACTAGCTGGCATTCTCTGTCAACTTCCAGAATGTATCACCCTTACATGAAGCTCCTGCATAGAGGAGTGAATTCTTTCTACAGCAAACACAGACACCCCTGGAATTAGTAACAGGATGTTAACAAACACAACATACAAGTGGTAAACAAGCAAGTAATATAGAATAACTTATCTGCTAGGTATTCCATCAGGCTTAAAAACTCAGAACATACCTGAAAAAAAAAAAAAAAAGAATTAGACCAGCACAAGTTTTGTCATGATAAGGACTAGCTGATAAATTCTGCTCTTTAGATACAGATGGCAAACAGGCTCAAGCAAAGGAACTATTTTCTTTAAGACCATGAGAATAGGATAGATGTGTTAAAACTTGAGCATTCACATGTTTATGAAACCCACCAGCAACACATTCAGTATTAATGGCCCAAACACATCAGTCAATGAGAGCTGAAAATGTATCTGTGGAATCTCCCTACATGCTAGAGGTACACTGCATAAGGCCTCTAAAGAAATATAATAATTTCTAAAATTTGCAGATATATTAGCATCAGAGTTCATCAAAAAGTTAAAAGCATGACTCTAAACAAGAAAATCTGGCTTTTGGCTGGAAAGCAGGTCTATGCATATTCTCCTTAGTATGTTTACAGCAAGAAAGCAGCTCAACTAGAAAAGACTTTTAGTATTTCAGAGGTAAGTCTATCTGATATGGATTTTGAATAGGCATTTACTTACCTTGATTTGAAGCTCAGTCTATAGTTCATTTTAAGGTTCATTCTAATTTGGTAACTTTGAATTACTCCTTGGAAAACTACCAGTACATAAGATTCCACATTTTATAAGCAGCTTCAGGCATAAAATAAATACTAACTTTTTTATTTTTGCCATCAGAAAAGAGAAAAATTGTTTTGCTGACACAATGATTGTTTGAGTTACATCTTGGAAAAAATGCTAGTATATGAAATTCCTCAGTTCATAGAACAACAAAACTTGACTCCACATTTTATATGCAGCTTCAGGCATAGAATAAACACGGAACTCTTTCTCTTTTTGCTGCCAGAAAAATTATGTAGCTGATACACTGTGTATCAGACTGTGACAAACAAAAGATAATCCCCATTTCAAAAAAAAATAATAAAAGGGGGGATCCTTTACAAAACCGAGATGTGTGTATCAAACTCAAATACATGTATAACCCTGAAAAATCTTGTTAATACAATAAATAACAAGTAACATTTTAACAAACATAAAACAAACTGATGAAAGTAATACTACATTTCATTTTTCTAACTATCCTACATTTACTGTTGGACTACATATCTATCTGTTTAGTATAATACAAAAGAGTTCATTATTTTTTCTTAAAACTTCATTAGAGAAAAAATGTATAAAAATACCCCTTTCCTACCAGTCTTTCAAGTTCACCAACTTTGGAAGACAGTATTTCAGAATCAGATCTGTACTTTCTCACTTCTTCCCTAGCTGAGGAAGCTAGAGATGAATTTCTATCCAGAAGCTTTTGGAGGTCAGAAATCTACAATATAAAAGTCAAAATATTACATAATATAAATTCTAGTTAAAATATGAAAGCCAGAACTTATTACTTTATTAAGTGAAAAGTTATGTTCAAAGAGATATACAGTTATGATTTCAAGTATTCACACAAACCCAGGTGTTTGTAATTACACAAATAACTTTTTTGTTAAATTAAATGGAATGTAACCACAGCAATAATGTTAAGCAAATAGTTTTTAATTATTCTATTATTATGTTTACTGATACTTGTTTTTGTTTGTGAAAAAGTTTCATTTTGTACATTTTTGATGTTTATATTGTTTAGGTTTAGCATTACAGTCAAATACTGTTAAAAAGAAAATTTACTACTTCAACAGTTTTAGTAATTAAAAGTCTGTACAATCAGAAAATATTAATTAATATATATGTGCAGTTAATGATGGATAAATACACTATATGTAAATGCTAATTATCTTAGCAGAACTGAGTGATTTAATTAATGAATATAATCAATTACCTATGAGAAGTGATTACATTGATCAGTGTCACATAAAATAATCAATTAATCAAAATTAGTTTTTGATGATCATCTTTTTCAATTATTCCAACAACTGACCAACTGAAATTATGATTAAATCAGTTGTCACAAAAATAATCAACTAACTGAAATTAATGTTTCCAATTATTCCGACAATTGATTAATCAAAATAATGATTATATCAATTGTAATGAAAATAATCGACTAATTGAAATTGATGCTTTTGATTATTCCAACAATCACTTAATTGAAATTTTAATTAAATTGACTGTCAAGAAAAAAATAAATCAAAATAAGAGTTTCTGATTAGTACTATTTTAAACTATCCAACTATCCTAGTAATTGAAATATTGCCACCAAACTTTTATGTCCTGTCTTTATTATAGCAAAGCTACTAAGGTTATCTGACACTGACACTAAGCTGTAAATGATCACTAGAGGAAAGACAAGTGGCTAGCAACACCTGCCACCAACCCTTTTTTCTTTCTTTCTTTTTTCAACTACTGACTACAGGAAAGGTAAATGACTGGCACTTATTTTTGTTTTGCTTCTACATACCATGGTTTGAGGAACACTGTACTAATCGATGAAAGAAATTTAATCTATTAATGGATCTATCCATTAATCAATTAGCAAATATCATTAAACACCCATCTAGAATTAAAATAGTTATAATTCCCCAAAACTGGTCTGACACAATGACACATAGCAAATTCAAAAACTGACAGAGTCTCACTTTCGTTTCTGGTAAAATTCACCATTTTGACAAAATGGAAAAAATTACATTATTTAAAAAAATGTGGAAAAGTATGTTGGTAGTGTAAATGTTATTTTCTTTAAGTAAATATAAATAGAACTTACTTGTGGTGAATTGAAAAGATGGTTTATAAAGAAAATCTCTAGTGACTGATTTTCACACCATTTACTACAAAACTACCTCATACATGTAATTCATCAACAAATATCAATATCTAAGAGAATTATACACCACAGCAACAGTTACATCAGATGTGAGTAATGATAAAGTAATCCAAAAGATATCATAAACTGTTATAAGTATTCAACTTTAGCAGAAAAGATATCCTTTGTGGGTATGGAAATAAAGAGATTTTATATATATATGACACACACACACACACACACACACATATATATATATATATATTACTTACACTCATTTCTTATATTATAGTAATACTGGAAAGCTTCAAATAATCAGCATATTTTAATTTCTTATAAAAAAAAAACAATAATGTGACAATATTTTGGATTGTTGTATCTGCTACAGAAGAGCTGGATGAAGCAGAGCACTTGACTAATGTCAGTTTTGTACTGTTTGAAAACTTGCATATAAACATATTTTAGTAAGAATAAGGAAAAATAGAAATTAAACTTAAGATACTATAGTTACATTTTGTCACCACAGGTACTTAAATAAATTTATTCCACAAACTGTGTTCCAAAACACTAAAAAGTATGGTTCTCAAAGTTACATGTTAAAGATTAGTTAAACCTATGATAATTTGATTATCTGTAGGAATGTAATGATTTTTGTGGGAATATGAATAATTAATTACAGAAGCAGGGTTGCCAATAATAATGAAACAACAGAAATATTTGTAATTTCAACATACCGGGTTGAGGATCAAATGGTCAAAGGTCAAGGGCAACACCATGGTAGAGAAACCAGACGGGTAAAGTATTTTAGAAATTTTGCCCCTTACTGTACTGACTTTTATTAGTTTATAATCAAATAATATCTTCAAAAAAATCAAAAACTTTTTATCATACAACTGATTGTTTATCAAATAAGAAAAAATTTGCAAAATCTAACATTTTCCTAATATGGTTATTGTAGATCTTATCAGGTAATTTATTTTATGAGTGAATATTTCATGATTGTTTAGTTTATTTCATAACAAGAGAGTTAAAAGCAATTATTTTAAAGGCAATAGTTATTACAAGTTTGGTTACGTAACTGAGTAAGAATTGTATGTTGTGTATATAATTAATTGATGTAGAGGCTAAGAACGCCATGTACAATCCACTGATGTCAAGGATATTGAAGCAACTGGAAATTTTCGAGGAAATTTCATCAATTGCTTCAATAGTTATGGATAATTAAAAGTACTTTAGAAACACTTAGAATAAAAACTTTTAAGAGTTTCAATACGAGCAAACAAGTTAAGATAGATATAAAAGAAAAGGGAGGCGACAAGGAGACGCCTGTGTTACGGAATAAGCCTTGAGAAATTAATAAACAAGAACTAGGTTAGATAGTCAGAAGTAAATAGCACAACACGTGCACAAGCTTGAGACGTGAGCCTGGGAAATCAGTGACCCAGGGTCAATAGCAGAGTTAGTAACAGCTATTGCATCATAACCAGGAAGTGAACATCTATACATGTGACAGTTTGATGAAGTGTTGGCCTCACTTTCTTAGCACTATAGAAGCTACAGAAAAGTTTATATTTTGTGAATCATCTCGGTGCTTTGAAGCAGTATTAGTTACAGTACATGGGTGTAACAGCACAAGTAAATAGGCGGCCGGCTAACACCATTTATCTATGACCAATAACTTGAGAGTTTTGGTTTAGGTTCTGGATTAGCCCGGGAATTGCCCTAAAGCATCCAATAGGAGCACAGGACTACTTGTGGGTGATGCTGTGTCCTATTTGGTAGGGTCACACTAACACTAGGAATGAGAGTTTAAAAGCCCATGTCAGAGGCTGAAAAATCAGCTCTCCGGACAGCAAAGAAGCTCTCCACCAGTTTCCCAGCAGTTCTCTCTAAGAAGAAAAATGAAGCTGAAATTCTCCAATGTGGCTACAGCCTCTAAGATTCCAACTCTACAGTAAGTATAGTCTCTCTCTCTCTTAATCAGCTAGGGCAAGAAGCATTAAAGTTTTTACCAGTAATGTTTTTAATGATTTGTACATTAATAGTTTAATAACAAGCAACTGATTTTAATAAATATTATTTTGAGTATTTACTGTTGGTCTGAAATTCCTATTCTTTAGTCTAACTGTAAACTCCTCGAGTTAGTGACTTGTGGCTCCACTCGTCATGACAAATCCTCCAATAAATAAATTTGGTATAAAGGTTGGTTTTAATCAAAACTCCAACAATTAAGCTCACCTGAGCACTAACCTTTACATATAGGGATTTCTAGAAGGCCAAAGTGATAGACAAATGAATAGCAGCAAGCTGATGAAAAAACCAGAGCAAAAGAGAGTAAAGTCACAGGAAGGAGAAGTTTGGTCAGGAAAAAGTTAAATGCAAAGTTAATCATCGTGAGAGTTAAAGGCCTAGCGGATGATATGTTAGAGTGAGATTAACAATTTTGTAAGAGATAAGGAGAATAAGTTGTCTTGTCAAAGGGAGTTCTAAAGTAATTGAACCAGTCTGAGTGGATTTTGACAAAAGCAGATAATTCTTGGAAATAAGAAAAAGGAGCAGATGATTTTTGAAGTACAGGATACAATTGTGGTCAGTCAAACACAACAATAGAAACAGAGGAAAATAGTTTGCTTGTCAACTGAATTCTAAAGCAACTGAATAGGCCTAATAGGACTTTTGATAAGAAGAAGAGAACTATATAGTGTTTAAGATATAACTATGACCTCCATAGTGTAAGCAATTTTTGTACATACATTTAACTTATTCCAAATATATATGTTATCTTGAAAACAAGCAGAATGCATGCTGTTTGTTTATTTTCTTTGAATTTATCACCAACAAGTCATAGACACCTATTGTACAAAAATCCTTAGTCAACATACCCATAAACTTGCATTACTATATATTCTACTTAAAAGTAAATTTACTAGCAATTGGTAAGCCACAACTAGGATTATACAGTGGTAAACACCAGTAGAAGAAAACGTGGACAAAGGAAATAGGTAGGCCTATATACACACAATTGTAGTAGTAGCGCAAATACTGTGGAAATTACAATCACACTATATAACAATGTCAAATTTTGATAAATGGATAGAAGAGAAGAGCATCTCAGGTTAATAGACAGTGAACTATGAGAATTTGTTAAACAACTAGAGAGAGAAGAGAAGCAACAGAAGAGAGAGGAGGAGAGACAGAGAAGAAAGGAAGAAAGGCTGAAGGGAGAAAATGAGAGAAAGGAAAGACTGGAAATAGAGAGTGAGGATAATAGCACAAATGGAGAAAGAAGAAAAAGAGAGAGAGAAGAGAGACTAGAAATAGAGAAAATAAGTATACAAACTGAGATTGCAAAGCTCACACAACCAAAGGAAGAAGGACCCAAGAATGACAATAGAGGAAGGGGCAGCCAACCCAAGCTGCCCAAATTTGATGAACAAAAAGATGACGTGGTTGCTTTCCTGGAGAGATATGAAAGATTTGCCCTAAGACAGAACTGAGACAAAGGCGACTGGGTAGTCTGTCTCTGCCCACTTCTCACAGGAAAATGCCTTCAAGTATATGCAGGCATGACATCAGAAGAT